CACATATACATACACACATACACACACACACACACACATATATATACACACACACACACACACACACACATATATATATATATATATACACACATACATACATATACACACATACAGTGAAGGAAATAAGTATTTGATCCCCTACTGATTTTGAATGTTTGCCCACTCACAAAGAAATTATCGGTCTAAAAATCGCATGGTAGGTATATTGTAACACAGAGACAGAATAGCAACAAAAAATTAAAAAGAAATGCATGTCTAACAGATGATGCACTGATTTGCATATTCATGAGGAAAATAAGTATTTGATCCCCTATCATTCAGCAGGATTTCTCTACCGGGTGTCTTTCATACAGGTAACAAGCTGGGATTATTAGCAGTCTCTTAAAGGGAGTGCTGCTAATCTCATTTTGTTACCTGTATAAAAGACACCCGCTCACAGGAGCAATCAAACAATCAGATTCCAAACTCTCCACCATGGCAAAGACCAAACAGCTGTCCAAGGATATCAGGGACAAGATTGTAGACCTACACAAGGCTGGCCTGGCCTACCAAACTATCACCAAGCAACTTGGTGAGAAGGTGACAACAGTTGGTGCAATTATTCGCAAATGGAAGAAACACAAAACTATCAGTCTTCCTAGGTCTGGTGCACCATGCAAGATCTCACCTTGTGGAGTGTCAATGATGAGAACAGTGAGGAATCATCCTAGAACTACATGTGAGGATCTTGTCGATCTCCAGGCAGCTGGGACCACAGTCACCAACAATTGGTAACACACTACGCCGACAAGGATTGAAATCCTGCAGTGCCTGCAAGGTCCCTCTGCTCAAGAAAGCACATATCCAGGCCTGTTTGAAGTTTGTCCCTGAACATCTGAATGATGCAGAGGAGGACTCTTGATTATATTGTTGGTATTATTTTTGTGCTGTGTTTTATATTTTCACTATTATTGTTTTTTTTTTTATAACAAAGAGCAGCAGCATTTGAATTAGGATATATTTTTTATTATTATTATTTTTTGGCACAGGGCTTTTTTTTAATTTTTAAGACTCCATGATTGAAAGAACTGAAATCCAATGAATAGAAGGGGTGAGCCAGGGACAGTAAAGTGCTAGATTTCTCCAGCCAGGAAATGAGAGGGGCTCTAACTGCTGCAGCTTCTAATGCACACTGTGAGATGCTCAGTGTGCAGTGAAATCAGAGTAAGCATTCTCCTTCCAGAAGAGGAGCCTGTATAAGACTGAATGGAAGGAAGGAGTTCTTCCTTAAACTCATATCAGTGGTATTATATACAGGAATGTGAAATTCTCATGTGACAGCAGCTGCTCACAGTACATCACAGTAGAGTGCTATGACATGTTAAGAGCATCCCACTATTTGGAAATCTGCTGCAAAATAAACGTTCAATCTCCCATCTGATTTACATGAGCTAAAAGCACTGTGACAGACAGATACTCTAACCAGGATGAAGAAAAAAAAAAAGATGCAATTTTTTCTCATGGATCATACAGAAAAACCTAAAACTGTCACAAACCTGGAACGTTCAAAATGTGAAAAAAAAAAAAAAAAAAAAAAAAAAAAAAAAATTCCTACAAAGAATTTTTCTTCCAGTAAAAACATCTTATCAAAAGAATCGCTGGATGTGGGCAGTTGAAAGTATATGCAAATATCAACTACTTCAATATTTATTTATTAAAAAAAAAAAAACATTCCTGCTCTTTGCTTTTGGAGTTTTCCATGAGCTTGCCGAACACAAAGGTCCAATGGGGAAAATATATTGCAGCCCAGGTTGTCTCACAATATAAACCATTAGAAAGTAAACAGTGCATGTATTCATATTGGTGCACCAAAATAAAAATTCTGGACCAAAACCAAAAATTCAGGATGCACTTTGCAGAGAACCGAAACGGACAGGTTTTTTTTTTTTGGTACAAAATATATTTTTTATATATAAATTGTATTATATTTGACTTTGTATTTAATATCATGAATTTAAATAAATATGAATTTCAAAAAATACAATCCAGTAATGTAAAATAACTTTTATTGAAAGCAACACAAAAACTGGACAGAAAACAAAAATTAAATATATGTAAAATAAACTTAAATAGAAGGGTTTTTTTTCATTGAAGTCAATGGGAGACGATTTTACGTTGAAGTCAATAGGGGATGTTTTTGCATTGAAGTCAATGGGACGTGATTTTGCATTGAAGTCAATAAGGGGCGGTTTTGCATTTAAGTCAGTGGGACATGATTTTGCATAGAAAGCAGTATTAGCACTTTTTTTGTTACTAAAATCGGCAAAACGCCAATCCTGAGAGGCTCCGAAATGTTGATTCTGTTTTAACGATGTGATTGCTAAATAAAAGCTTTGGATCCACTCTGGAGATCCGTGGCGTACTACTGACATTCTCTTGCGACACAAAGTCGCATTACAAGTGTTGTTTCAATGGTGGCCATTCCAATCAACGTGACTCAAGTCACATCGCCTTTACCCCCGGTTCACATATCCGCGTTCCTGCAGGTCGTGTTTTGCGTGGGCAAGAGAGCCCATTCTTTTGAATGGACTCTCGTGCTCCGGGACACGCAGGGAAGAAGTCCCTGCTCTTCTTCTGAAAACGCAGCCCGCACGGGAACCTCGGTTCCCAGTATGGTTGAGATTTCCTGTGCGGGCGGCGTGCCATTACAAGGACACCCGCCCGCAGGCAGGGGTGTATTTACCACAAGGCAAACAAGGCATTTGCCTAGGGTGGCATTTTTCGGGGGGGGGGGGGGGACAGCACTGCCCCTCAGAAGAAGGGACGGAAGAAAGGACACACGCGGCATGGGGACCTGGTGGGTTCCGAGAGAGGCTGTGAGTTTCATGACGGTGTGTGTGCACAGCCCGACGACTCCCATTCTCGGGGATGTCCGGAGCTGTGAAAGAGTGCCTCTCTCTCTCTCGCCATGGGGGATGGTGGCTGGTGTATGGGGGGCAGTGGTAGTGGAAGGCTCGGGTGGGAGGCAGGGGTGTTGTTGGGCAATATCAGCATTTCCCTGTGGGGGGCGCCAATTTTTGTGTTGCCTAGGGAAGCACAAAACCTAAATACACCACTGCCCGCGGCTCCGCATACCTCTGTGCGGGTGGTGTGGCTGCACGGATTTTTTGCGGATCCGCAGCGGCACCACCCGCACATATGTGAACCTAGCCTTAAAAAAATTTTCAGCACTACTTTGATGCGGCTTCCAGTTCAGGAGTATCTAAGGTTTCATGAATGTCGCAAGCAAGTCGCACAAGAATGGGGTCACAGCAGCGTGAGTTGAGGCTTACACTTTGATTGGTCATTTCACAGGTTTTTTTTTTTTTTTTTTTTTTTTAGCAATTGTAAGGGCATTTTTGCTCATTTTACAGACTTTCTGGTATTTTTGTGAGTGGCCTAAGTTTAAATGTGTGTTTTTTTTTAACCTAGTTACTAGGGGAAAAAAACCAGGATACAAGCAGTTTCATGCATTTTTCAGGTGTTCCTATTAAAGTCTATTTGGACCAAAAATTCCTGAAGCTTGTGTGAACAGTCACAATTGAAAACCATGGGATTTCTGATGTTGAGCTACAAACCTGCTCAGGTGTGAGTGGGGCCCAAACAATTCACAATAATCCATTATTTTCACCTGTGTGTTGCTATCTGATGCACAAGAGATAAAAGAACTAAATTGTGTTTAGACCGTCGCCAATCCCAACCTACGCTCTCTCCTTTCTGCAACTGAAATCATTAACTTTCCTATATATAGCATGGTTTAGGAAGGGATTTAGAGCGCACACAAAAAGGTCAGACCAAGCTCAGATATGGCAGGAGACAGAGTTGAGATTTCTCCGAGAAATAAATGTAGGTTTAAAAAGGAAAAGTAATCTCAACATGTTCATAGCCCGGGCGACGCTGACAAAACTGAGGAATGCTGAACATCAAAAATGTGTAGATTTTCTAAGGAGGCCTGTGGCCCTTTAACTACTGTGACCCTTTCATGGCCAAAGCCTATTAACCTCCCTAGCGGTCTGATTATGTCCATATTTCTGTGCTCAAAGTGGTACTTTTTTTGCATGGAGATATGTTGTTTTTTTATTGTAGGCCTGTAATTCTTAGGAATAACTCACTGAAATCTGTCCGAACAAGAGTCTAGTAAACATCCCGGGTATGTGAAAATTTGAAACACGAAATCATAAATGATAATTTAATACTCATAAAAAATAATATAATAATAATAAATTATTTTTCAATAATATAATCAAACCAAAAACATTGAAATTTGAAATAGAGGGCCAAGTTCGCACATCACTGAGCAAAGTCACAAAATCGTTTTCGGTGTCTGATGACGAATTTCCCCACAAATCATTATCACTCAATTCTGCAAGTGGTTCTGATTTACTATCGCTGTTCTCTAGCTGGTCTAAAACCGCTTTTGACCTAAAGTGATGCTTTTTGGACACCATGGACTTTTCTCAGTTTCCAGGCAGAAAGAACAGTAAATATGCAGGCAGGCACAGGACAAAGCACTCGGGACAAAATGTATGTGAAATGGTTTGATACAGTAATGTTTTACTATGTGATTTTAGTGAATTTAGTGAATGTCACTTTTTGTCATTTTCAAATTTCCCGCCGTTCCAGGGAACGGAACCCAGAAGACAGATGCTGGCATCAGCCCGGAGGACAATACAGGGGACACTGCAGGGGGGACATCGCAGGAGCGCAGGACAAGGTAAGAGAAGAACAGATCCCGGAGCTGTGCTGCATGGTAAGCCCGAGTGTAGCTCGGGGTTACCGCTTGTGGTACTGAAACTTTACCCCGAGCTACACTCGGGAATACCGCCAGGGAGGTTAAAACTTCGATGTCCAGACCAGACTGGCATTGGTATGTGACGGTTACCTTGGAAATAGTGCTATGAATACTGTGTCAGTGACAGGAGGACTGGGAACTAGGAACACACACAGTTGCACAATCACATTGCTTTACAGGGATATTAAAGTGTTACTAAACCCACAACAGTAAAATCAGTCTGTATATGCAGCAAAGCATGCTTGTTATACTCGCTGTGAAACCTAAGGGGTTAATCCTCTGCCTTGTGTGAAAAGTCTGTTTGATCCTGTCTTCTCTGCCCCTCCTCTTGAGAGTGCATGTGCTGATCACATGCACTCTCCCAAAAAAAACAAAAAAACAAATGATACACACTGAATCTGTAGTCACATGCACATGCTCAGTTTGGTGTGTATTGTTGGAGAGGCTTTTTTTTCTTGGGGGAGTGCATGTGATCAGCACAGGGCCAATCAGCACTGTCCAGACAGAGTCAAGAGTTTCACATCCTCCTAGAGCAGAAAGAAAACCCCCCCCTACAAACTTTAACCAGTGCTCTGCTGAAGTCACAAGACTGCTCTAACTGCGGATGAGAAAAGGTATTTAGCAGTTTATATTTCCTAAAATAATTGCATTTCTATGTTCTGTGTACTGTGGGAGTCCAGATATAGTGAATGCAGGGACAGGGGTTTAGTAACACTTTAAAGCCATTATATAGCAGAACCTACATGCTATTGCTGTTTTTTTTTTTTATTATTTCTCTCCTGTGTTTGCTCCTTATACTGTCCCCTAGCAGTGTGGCCCAACTTTTGGTATGCTGGTGCCCCATGTGCCTGCCATGATCTGTGCAGCCCATCCAGACCCACCACTTCGTGTGCTTCAGTTTTGAACAAACTCACCTGCAGCCTCTCCCATTCCTGCCCATAGACAGCATGGGAGGCACAAAACCAAATCTGTGCATCTCCCTCTCCTCCACAGAGGTGATCAACAGCAATTTTCGAGATTAGTTCGGTCTCTTGTGCTGCCTATGCAACATTGGGAGTGGCTGTGCGCAAACATGCTCTTCAAATGGGAATACATACAAAGTGGAAACTCCAGCGGCTCTATACGTCCAACAGGCACCAGGGGCACTTACATACCAGAGTTTGGGCGCTGTGTTCTGTGGACAGTATTAGGAGCGCAAACAGGAGAAAACCTAAAAAGAAAAACCACAAGAACATGTACACTGATTAGCCACAACTTTATGACCACTTACAGGTTACATCAGGGGTGTCAAACTCAATTTCATCACAGGCCGCATCACCATTATGGTTGACCTTAAAGGGCTGGTTGTATCTGTAAAACAATGCATGCAGGGTTCAGGGGTACGCCCAGTACACAGTGCAAGGTTCAGGGGTACGCCCGGTATACAGTTCAAGGTTCAGAGGTACGCTCCATACACAGTGCAAGGTTCAGGGGTACACTCCCTACACAGTGCAGGGCTACGTATAGCGTGCACGGATCCGGGGTACGCTTCGTACAGAGTGCATGGTTCAGGGGTACGCTATGGACAGAGTACAGGGTTTAAAAGTATACTACGTACAGAGTGCAGGGTTCAAGAGAACACTACATACAGAAATCAGAAGTGCATTATGTACTGTGCAGAGTTCAGGAGTGTGCTACGTACAGAGTGCAGAGTTCAGGGGTGTGCTACGTACAGAGTGTAGAGTTCAGGGGTGTGCTACGTACAGAGTGCAGAGTTCAGGAGTGTGCTACGTACAGAGTGCAGAGCTCAGGAGTGTGCTACGTACAGAGTGCAGAGTTCAGGAGTGTGCTACGTACAGAGTGCAGAGTTCAGGAGTGTGCTACGTACAGAGTGCAGAGTTCAGGAGTGTGCTACGTACAGAGTGCAGAGTTCAGGAGTGTGCTACGTACAGAGTGCAGAGTTCAGGAGTGTGCTACGTACAGAGTGCAGAGTTCAGGAGTGTGCTACGTACAGAGTGCAGAGTTCAGGAGTGTGCTACGTACAGAGTGCAGAGTTCAGGAGTGTGCTACGTACAGAGTGCAGAGTTCAGCTCTCTTTCACAGGCTATCCACATCTGAGAGGAAAGCTCTCCTTGTAAACAGATTCTGGCTGAGAAAAAGCCCTGGGTGCAGAGGCCACATGAAATGGCTTGGCAGGCCAGATTGGGCAAACGGGCCTTGTGTTTGACACATGTGAGTTAAGCGCATAACATTGATTATCTCATTACAATAATTTCTGAAAGTGGGTGGGATGTATTAGGGAGCAAGTAAAAATGTTGTCCCTGAAGTTGATGTGTTGAAAGTAGAAAAAAATGGGCAAAGAAATAGGTCGTGTATGGGGCCCATGTCAGGATGCCCATGCTGACCCGTGTCCACAATCAAAAGCACCTACAATAGGTACATGAGCATTAGGACTGGAGCTTGGAGCAATGAAAGAACGTGTCCTGGTGAATCACATTTTCTTTTCCATCATGTTGAAGGCCAGATTCATGTGTGTCGCTTACTTGGGGAAGAGATGGCACCAGCATGCACTATGGGACAAAGGCAAGCCGGTGGAGGCAGTGTATTGCTTTGGAAAATGTTCTGCTGGGAGACCTTGGTTCTTGCCATTCATGTGGGTGTCACTTTGACATATACCACCTACCTAAACACCATTGCTGATTAGGTACACGTCTTCATGGAAACGGTATCCCCTGATGGCAGTGGTCTATCAGCAGGAAAATGAGCCCTGCAAAAATGGTTCAAGAATGGTTTGAGGAACCAATGAGTTTGAGGTGATGGACTTGGCCTCCAAATTTTCTAGATCTCAATCCAATCAAACATCTGTGGGATGTGCTGGAAAAACAAGTCTGATCCATGGAGGCCCCACCTTTCAACTTACAGGACCTGCTACTGACAGCTTGGTGCCAGATTCCACAGCATATCTTCAGAGGTCTCGTGGCATCTATGCCTCAATGGGTCAGGGCTGATATGGTAGCAAAAGGGGGACCTACTCAATATTAGTTGGATGGTCATAAAATCATGGCTGATAAGAAAGTCCTGCTATCAGAATCTCAATCTTTAATAACACTTTAACGTTCTCAAAGCAAAGGACTTTTTACTTTGGATTTAAAAGTCTTATTGCAGTCAAGAAAGGTTGTTTTAACTGGAGTGCCACTTTAAGACACTTCAGATTGCTCTAATGAATATCAGCAGACGCCAAGTTTCCCTCTTCTGAAGAATAATAATCATAGCACAAAACGAAAACTCAGCTACTTTCACTTATCATAAAACATTCGGCAGCACAGGAGCAAATGATGTGTGGCACTTTGAGAACGGCTGTTTACTGGCCGGTTAATAAAATCCATTCTGTATTACGTTCCAGTATTGGGACTGAACATAAAGCCCACTAAACATGTAATATTTATAATATGCACATCAATGTTCAGTTATTCACGCTGGTAAGCAGCCAGCATACAAGCACTTCTAAAGCGGGTTTCTCAAATCTACACTTGTACGATGAAATGAATCCAGCAGAAGTCAGTGTGGATTTTGGTTTGGCTACCATCCAATGGAATTTATCAATTGATGACTTGGCATTTCAAGTCCAAGTTCTGGGGTTCATGCTGATCCTTACTTCACTACTAAGTAATTGACCTGGAATTTACATGTACACATCAGGTATCATGATGTCTAATATGGAAGTATGCAACCCGGTGAGTGGTAAAGGATGACAGCCCTGGAACAGGCACTTTCAAGACGTCGGGCAAAGTAATCCCATCCTTGGTCTAAGTGTATCACTACAGGCATGGGGGATTTTAGGACTGCTAGATTTTGCCAGTATTTGGCAAATAAATTTTGATCCATATAATGTAAATAAAAAGTAGGAACCTCTATAAAATCGTTCTGAAAAAAGTAAGTATACGCACAAGAGGAATTCCATACAAAATGGAGAACAGAGAGAGAGGGGTAATTTGTTGATTTGGTTAAAGGGCCCCATCACATGAAGTTACAACTCTGCGTACAACCACTTTCCATCTACCCTGTTTCCCCGAAAATAAGACCGTGTTTTATATTAATTTTTGCTCCCAAAGATGCACTAGGTCTTATTTTCAGGGGATGTCTTATTTTGTCATTGTGTGTCATTTTGATTGTCCCCTCTGATCCTCCTGTCTCATTTTGATTGCCCCCTCTGATCCTCCTGTGTCATTTTGATTGCCCCCTCTGATCCTCCTGTGTCATTTTAAGTGATCCCCCTCCCCCCACCCATGTGCCACTGAACACCTTCACCAGACATCCCCCCCGCCCCTTTATCAGACATTTCCCCCCTGGGGCCTGGACCTGGGCTGGAGCAGGGTCTGCCACTGACTGAGAACCTTCAGTCATCATGAGGGCGGTGTCACCAGAGACAGACCAGCACTCACCACCTTCGCCGCGTCCCGTCCGCTCTGATCCTCCTGTTCATCTACACGCATCTCTCTCCCGCTCACTCCGACCTCCGCTCCGCCTCCACACAGCAGTGACGTCACTGGTTGCTAGATGCCAGTTGGGGCGGCCCTAGCAACCAGTTTACGGTAAATTAATTTTCATTACGAGACAGAGCCTAGGGGGGGCCTTATTTTCGGGGGGATGCCTTATATTTCACCCAGAAGGAAACCTGTAAGTAGGTCTTATTTTCGGAGGATGTCTTATTTTCGGGGAAACACGGTAAGCCTCTATATGGGTCCAGTGACCTACAGGTAGACTGGGTAGGTGAGAAAAAGCAGCGCAATACTTAAAGCTGGGTTAGAAAAAAAAATATAAATTGATAGTCCAGTGATATTATCCGAAGACTCAGAGTGGGTATAAGGGGAAATACCCATGGTGGGTTCTCAAAAAGTTGCCAGTGTCCAATCACCTGAAGGTACCAACCTATAACCCAAGGTTTATGATTATTCAGCCTGTGTCCTGTACAGTATCATTAAGATAGCAGCTTTTGCTGCGATATGCACCTTCAATCCAGAGCTGTCTCCTGAAAATATTACTTTCCACCACTAAATGTCTTCAGTCTGCCAGGTTTAATGACAGCCAGCTTTATTCAACCCATTTTCTCTGAGCCCAAGCTGTCATTGACCAGCTCATTTGGGGAGGTATTAGACAGCCTGGGCTCAAAGTATTACTGTACGCAAATGCATTTTGACATCTAAAAGTGAGCACAATAACATGCAGCAGTAAGGACTGCCTACTGCTGGAAAATCAATTTGTGATGTCACTGATCATCCAGAAGACCCTTGGAATAAAAATATAACTATGTACAGTATGTACAGCTGTGAGTTTATAGACCACTGGAAGACCTTGCATGTGGACCATTTTTTAAAGAAAACAAATTAAAGTGTTACTAAACCCACAAAAGTAAAATCAGTCTGGATATGCAGTAAACCATGCTTGTTTATCCTCTGCATTATGTAAAAACGCTGTTTGATACTGTCTTCACTGATCCTCCCCTTCTTCCAGTGCCCCCCTCTTATCTCCATATAAAGCATTTGTGTGGAATCACTCTGCAGATGTTTAGTGTGTATTGCCAAAGAGGTTTCTTTTTCTTCTTTTTCTTGGGAGAGTGCAAGTGATCAGCAGAGGGCCAATCAGCACTGTCCAGACAGAGGTCAGGGGTACTGCATCCTCCTAGAGCAAAATGAAAACTTCTTCTACAGAATTAAACAATGCTCAGCCAGAAACTGATAGAAGTCACAAGACTGCTCTAACTCCTGATGAGAAAAGGTATTTAGCAGTTTTTATATTTACTAAAATAATTGCATTTCCATGTTCTGTGTACTGTGGGAGACCAGATATAGTGAATGCAGGGTCCTGGGTTTAGTAACACTTTAAGAGGTTATTCCTCCACATTGTGTAAAAAAGTTTGATCCTGTCTTCTCTGATCCTCCTCTTCTTCCACAGTCCCCAATCCATCTGCTGATCGAACAGAACATTAGAGACAAGCTGCACATGTTCAGTTTGGTATGTATTGCTAGAGAGTTTTTTTTTTTTCTTGGGAGGGTGTATGTAATCAGCACAGGGACAATCAGTGCTGTCCGGATACAATAAGGTCATGCAACCTCATAGAACAATCAGGGGAGAATGAAAACTTGTCCTACATGCTTTAACCAGTGCTCTGCTGGATACTGATAGAAGTCACAAGACTGCTCTAACTACTGATGAAAAAGGTATTTAGCAGTTTATATTTACTAAAATAATTGCACTTCCATGTTCTGTGTACTGTGGGAGACCAGATATAGTGAATGCAGGGTCCTGGGTTTAGTAACACTTTAACTTTTAAAAGAAATATGTTTTGGTCCATTAAACTATTAGGCATCAAAGAACAGAAGGAAAATAATAAAATGGTCCTGGTCAGAGGTTTGCCTATCCTTAGTGCTTAATATCGGGTCGTGTCCACTTTAGAATCAATTAAGGCTTTCAGGCTTTTGAGATAGCTGTGAATGAAGCCTTTATTTTCTCATGTAGTAAAGCTGCCCAATCTCCTTGGCTAAAAAGCCTCATCTGGTAAATTCTTTGGCTGTCTAGTTTTAACTCTTTGAGATCTTTTCAAAAGGGCTGTTGAAGTAAGGCGATAGTGAAGGCCACTCCAGAACCTTTACTGTCTACTGCTGAATGTAACAGACTTTCCAATGTAACAATATCCATACCCAAGGCCCAGTACGCTCTATGTGCAGCTTTCAGGCTGCACATTGTTGTCCTATTTTTTTTTTTTTTTACAAAATTACTTCTGTTGCTGTACCTCACACCCCTCCAAAAAAAAAAAAAAAAAAAAAAAGAGATCCAACTCCATGCTTCACAGTAGGGCTGGTAGGCCTCTCTTCATAGGCCTTGTTGGTTTGTCTTCAGCGCTGGGTAGGCCTCTCTTCATAGGCCTTGTTGGCTTGTCTTCAGCGCTGGTAGGCTTCTCTTCAAAGGCCTTGTTGGGTCATCTACAGCGTTTATGGTTTTGACTATAATGTTCATTTTTGGCCCCATCACTCCTCTAGGTGCTGCTTGGCATATTGTAAGTGGGTTGTTTGTGCAGCAAAATGGCATTTTACAAATTTTCAAAGGCTTAAGTAAACTTTAGTAAAAAAAAAAACAGACTTTTTTTTTTAAGTTTGGGCGCAGGGGACTTTTGCTTTGACTTTTACAAAAACATAAAATTACGAAAAAACGTAACCCTTATACATAAGTTCCAATATTTCTTAATCCATTGATCGCTCTCATATGTACTTTTTAGTTACATCTGAATATGCATTTATCCAACCCTCTGCTTGAACCTTCCCGATTTGTGATGGGTTTACTTTAATTCCCAAATGCATGCATTAATAATGGAAAGAGCTACTTAGAAAAGATTTAGACTAAAGCTGAACTGGCAAAAGGCTAAAGATAGCGGCCACGCAGCAAGTCAAACGAAGAAAGGAGGCCGCCGCTGCATCTAAAGCACAATGCCTGTTGCTGATGAAAGACAAGCAGCCGAGCTACAGTAAACAGACTTGAGCAAGCGACTTGTCCCGAGAGAGTCATTGTTAACTCACAGCTAGTATTCCAGCGCAATTTGGACAGAAGCCCAGGAGCTACAAGCACTTAACGCTAGCAACTGTGATACGTTCCATTATTTTGTTTGTGTCCCCGGTAAAAGGAAAAAACAAAAAAAAGTACAAAAAAAGGCAGCTCAAAATTTAAGGTTTGCATAGGGACACCAAATTACAAGGGAGGATTTACAATAATAATAATAATAATAATAGAAAAACAATTCTTAATACCAACCTGGAGCAGAATACCTTTTAGGACTTAAATGGCGAGGAAGAGAAAGGAAAAGTCGGAAAAGCCGATCATACCTTTTCAAATCAAAGTTTGATCAAATCAGACAGAGCTGGACTGCTACTTAACTTTTGCTGCTAGCAAGTAAGCTTTAGTTCTACAAATACATTTTTTATATGTATTTATATGTAGTCAGGCACACTCAGAATGGCTAAGGCCAACAAATCCCTTATTAATTTTTAATTGTAGACCAGAAAAACCAGCAAAGGCATAAACTCTATAAAAATACAAAAGAAGCAGGCATGTCAAAGTGCTGTTTTTTTGGATCGCATTTGACGCTCTCGCTTAGTTTCTGGCACTCCGCTAGTTTAATCCCTTGACTCCCGCAGCCTACTTACACATGGTTCCCCATGCAGAGAGAATGTTAAAGTGGACCTTCGCTTGAACATTAAAGTTTGCTGAAACCCAATTCCCATATCCTCATGTATATTTATTTTTTAACCACTTCAAGTCCGGACACTTTCACCCCCTTCCTGTGCAGGCCAATTTTCAGCTTTCAGCGCTGTCACACTTTGAATGACAATTGCGAGTTCATGCAACACTGTACCCATATTTTAGCATTTTTTTGAGACAGATAAAGCTTTATTTTGGTATTTATTTATTTTTTGCTATATAAAATGAAAAAGTCCAAACATTTTGAAAAAATGAGGGTTTTTCTTATAAAATTTAGCAAATAAATAATATTTCATCATAAATATTGGCCAAAATGTATTCAGTTATTTTTTTAGTAAAAAAAAATAACCCAAATTAGTTTATAATCAAAAATTATAATTTTTCAAAAATGTTTTTTACATTTTATTTTATTATTTATGTTTTTTTTTTTTTGTTTTTTTTTTTACATACTGTCACCCTAGCAGTACAGTGTCACCATAGTGACACTGTACTACTTGTGGGGGGTGATGTAGATTTTTTTTTTTTTACACTGATTACTTTTTACACCCATAAAGGCTGAAAAAGCAATAATTTCTCTCTCTAGCTGCATTCTTGCAGCCATTGAGAAATACTGTGAGAGCGGAGATTGGTCACAGCTTGTCACATGGTACGAGGCTGTTGTGAATAGCCTTGTACCATGTGATCATTCACAGATTTCACACATAGTAAGCAATGATGTCAGAAGTGACATCTTGCTTACTGCTATTCATGTGATCACTGATTGGCCAATCAGTGATCACATGATTGAGACCTCACACAAAGGTCCCATACAGCGATCGGTGTCCTCCGTCCACAGCGGGCACCAGATCACAGTGCCGCGCGCTCCCAGGGAGCACGCACAGGTTACAATGGCGGAGCACCATTTATGAATGGCAACCCCCTCCTGCACTGCTCCCGTCTGGCAGTTTATATACATGGGAGGTGGTTAAGCTTACCTTTTTTTTCTTTTCCAATTTTCAGATGGATTTCTGCTTTAAAAACAAATCAGTGATGAAAAAGTCCCCACCTTTCCCACTTCTTGCATTAAATGCATCAAAGTGTAACCCATTATAATAGTCTCTAGAACAGGACCACCAAAAAGACATATTGTGCGTGTACCTGTTCCAATTTTCCTTTTGGGCAGGCACAGAAAATATTTAGCTGTTACCTCATTATCCCAATTACTTTACATCACTGTAAAATGTTTTTATCTGAAATGTTCTCAATATTTTTTCCAGAAAACTTGCATCATATTAAAAAACAAAAATGGAATGTCAGCCGTTTCCTAAATTCTTGCCATTACCTGATCTGTATGTCTTTCTACAAATCTGGGCCTGTCCACAGGAAGAGCTCCAAGCAGCAGAAGTCAGAATTCAGAGTGGATTCTTACCCCTCAAAAACAAAAAACTATATTGCTTTCACCTTTACATGAACATCCCTAAATATTTGGGAGATCTTGCTCAATGTGCTGTAGAGAATCATATTATTCTATTACAAACTGCACCAGATCTTGTACAATACGTAGTAGGTTGACCTGGGGTAGTTTAATAATGGATAACAAACCATGCTGGACCTCATACAGCATATGTACCATAGGAGATCTGGCACGGGTTGTTATAGAACAAACTGTGCTGTGTCTTGAATGGCACATGTGATATTGGCACATGCTTTGTGCATGATCCAGCAGAACTTAATATTCCATAACAATCTGCATCCTATGACACATGTGCAAGATCAAATGCATACATCATGTGGTGGGTCAACACAGGAAAAGGAAGAAGCAGCCAGCTGATTTGTTTTTTTTAAATACAATAATGTGCAAAAGATATAGGCAAGTGTAAAGAAATGCTGTAAACGTAAGAATGCTTTAAAAAATATATATTTTTTTTTTTTTATTTGTTTCAATTTACAAAATGCAAAGTGAGCGAACAAAAGACAAATCTAAATCAAATTAATATTTAGTGCGACTACTCCTTGGCTTTAAACCAGCATCAAATCAATGAATCAAGTTCCTTTGAAGAAGCACAGAAAAAAACGAGCAATGCTGAAGACAGTAGACACAGTGGTCAGAGGCCAAGATAAAAGACACATCATGCTTACTTCCCATTGACGCTGGAAGATTTCCAGCAGTGCCCTCAGCACAGAACTGGCAGAAGCCAGTAAGACCCAGGTACACCCATCTACTGTCCAGAGACGTCTGGCCAAAAGTTGCCTTCATGGAAGAATTGCGGCCAAAAAGCCATACCTCCGATATGGAAACAAGGATCAGTGACTCAACTATGCAGCAAAACAAAGGAACTAGGGTGCAGAAAAATTGCAGCAGGTGCTCTAGACTGATGGGTCAAAATGTGAAATAGTTGGCTGTAGCAAAAGGCATTTTGTTCACTGAAGGGCTGGAGATCAATACAATAATGAACACATGCAGTCTACAGTGAAGCATGGTGGAGCTTCCTTACAAGTTTGGGGCAGCATTTCTGCAAATTGAGGTTTTGTCAGGATCAATGGTGTCCTCAATGCAGAGAAATACAAGGAGATACTTCGCCATTATGCCATACCATGTAGGACGCGTATGATTGGCCCCACATTTATTCTGCAGAAGGACAACAACCCCAAATATACAGCCAATGTCATTAAAAATGATCTTCAGTGTAAAGAAGAACAAGGAGTCCTGGAAGTGGTTTGGCCCCCACAGAGCCCTGATATCACCATTATCGACTCTGTCTGGGATTACATGAAGATACAGAAGGATTTGAGGCAGCCTACATCCACAGAAGATCTGCAGTTAGCTCTCCAAGATGTTTGGAACAACCTACCTGCTGAGTTCCTTCAAAAACTGTA